CCAGTGATAATAGGGTGACGTCCTTCAGAGACCTTATTCATGACCAAGATGAGGAGGAGGAGGAAGAGGAGGGGCAGAGGTAAGGCTTTGAAAGGGAGCACAGTTTATAGGGCGTATACAGTGGTGCCTAAATCACCTAAGATTTTGTGTGAGAGACATGTTCACTATTGCCAGCCCTCACTGCTGTGTGTAGGGGTATGATAGCCTAAGAACAGTCTGCTCCATATAGTTTAGAAGGAATCTCTATCTCATTGCTGCGTATGTGTGGCCGCCCAACCCCCATCCCTGCACACCAAAAAAAATGTTCTGGGCTTTGCTCATCTATTTATTTATTTATTTCTAATTGTTACAATGTTTGCTGAAGAATATTATGGGAAGGGAAACAGAAGCTCTAAGAATGGAAAAGTTACCCATAAGACACAATGTAGAAATAGCCAAGTAGCTACTTGTGATATATTTCTATTCACATAAATAAATCATACAATAAGTAGGAAAATGGGGTTATAAATATGTATTCTCACAACACAATCATATTGCTTCCACTTTTAGAATGTTGTAATGGAATTGTTTCATTATGGAAAATATGAGACTTATAGAATGAAGATTATAGCATTTATTTGATAATTATCATTAATATTTTGGTATGTTCCCATGCAGTCCTTGTTCTGAGTATAGATTTGTGTGTTTTACATGGTGAAGATGATTTTGTTTTCTTGTGTTGCATTATTCAAGGTCTTACAGACACTTCCCTGCTGACATTGTAATTCCAGTGTTTTCCATAACTTTGCTAGCCCAATGTCCAGTGGTTAGAGTGTGTCTGCACTACTGTAAATAACAATGCTGTGAGCATCTTTGTATAGTCATCTTTGACCACTTTTGATTTTTTTTTTTTTTTTTTTTTTTTTTTTTTTTTTTTTTTTTTTGCAGTACTTCCTCTAACAAAAATACCAGGTCAGGAACATTTACTTTTAAGGCTGTTGATCACAGCTTCCCAGTTCTTAAGCCAAGACTTAAAGATCCCTTAACTAAGGCCTTTCAGTCCAGGCAGAACTGTATTTTCCTGGATTGAACAAGAATAAACTGGCTGTAGCCTCATTCCCCAGGTGTTTATTCTCCATGGGTCTGCTTTGGTCTGCCAAACATTCCTCAGAGAGTAGAAGATAACCATTGTGGAAATGTAGTGACCTCACCGTGAAGGTCTGAGAAGTCGCGTGTGTTCTGTTTCAGCCATGTAGTGTTTCACACTACCTCAGAAGTTTGCTTTAAATATACTGGAGACTCTGGGGTGTTGTTCATTTCAAGGTTTTATACTCAAGTAGAAGGCACCTGTCTGACTGCCTAGTTCCCCAATACCACCTCTACCTTTTCCAGCTTGGTCATGTCTGCCATTTTGACCTTCCATTAATCACATTCCTATAGCTTCTCTGGTTCCTACACACGTTAGATGTGAAACATTAAACAGAGGTTAAGCTGTTTCTCCCATTCTAGAATAATTATGAGGAATTAGAAGACCAAGATTAATTTTTACAAATTCCCACTGGCCCCTTTTAGAGACATATTGCAGAATTAGCTTAAGAATGATGAAGAGAGGTGGTGGTAGCACATGCCTTTAATCCCAGCACTTGCAAGGCAGAGGCAGGCAGATCTCTATGAGTTCGAGGCCAGCCTGATCTACAAAGCGAGTTCCAGGACAGCCAGGGCTACATGGAGAAACCCTGTTCTGAAAAACCAAAAAATAAGATGAGGAAGCAGCTACATGACAACACATTCTTAGGTCCAGATTAGTGAAAAAGTACTAACTTAATCTCAAGCTGGTCTTGAACAACTAGAACACCTGGTGTAGGTATCTTGGAGCTTATTTTTGAGATTGGAGCTTCCCTGGCTTCTAGTATGTCTTCTGAGGCTCCCAGTGTACATCGTCAAGATTGGCAGGTGCGGCGAGTCTTGGGGAGTTGTTGGTGTGGTGTCAGTCTGCCTCACATGTGTGCATTGTTCTGCTTGTTCTTTTGCATACATCTGCTGATTTGAACCTCACGACCTTGACTTAAGGAGCAGGTAGGTAGGGCATGTAGTCCTCTCATTCCAAAGCAAGAAAATGTGCAAGCAGTGCTCTGGCTTATTACTTAGGTCACACAGTTGTCAAACTAGGACTGGATCCTAGCTGCTTGTACTAACTGCACCACTACCATTAATCCAGAGCTCTTAGAGTTAGCTGCTTCTGACTTGGACCATAGCTGCTGCCTTCTGGACAGGGGCCTCCAGATGGATGATCCTTGCTGAAACTCTCCTGCACTGATGTGTTGTTGTGCATGCCTGGAATGTTCTTCCCTCATCTCTCCACCTGATAACATCATCCTCAAAGGGCTCAGGAAATACCTAGACAGCCTTAACTTAACTTTCATGTTGTGTGTCCCGTCCTGTCCCGCCCCCCTCCGCATTGTGCCAGAGACCCTCCTTACCAACTTCATGGCTGCTCCCATTGCATCATACCTGCCTGCATCCTTACATGTGTTCCTAGCTAGCCAATAAGTTCCTTAAAGACAAGAAACATTGAACCCTTTGCTTCAGTGTACCCAGAACCTGGGCATCTTCTGTTCATCTTCTGGAATGTTTGACATTTTCTACACAGGTTTTATGCTGGGGGTTCAGAGAGAAGTGGACAGCAGATTGTTGGCCCTCCCCGGAAGAAAAGTCCCAACGAGCTGGTGGATGATCTCTTTAAGGGTGCCAAAGAGCATGGGGCTGTAGCTGTGGAGCGAGTGACCAAGAGCCCTGGAGAGACCAGTAAACCGAGAGTGAGCATAAGGGTTGTTGTGCCCAAAGGAATTGCATTTCACAGTGGTGATTGAGGCCTGCTTCCCTCCAGCAGTGATTGGTTCTTTGTTTTTCTCACTTCACTACTTATTCTCCTGTGTAGAAGACTAGTGTGGCCTGTGTTCTGGATCAGTTCTTAGAAACACACCTATCCAATTGTGCCAACTTAGTGTTTTCCTTTATTTCACTGTAATTAAATTCACTACCAGTTTTTATGTAAAAATTTCTGTCCTTGGGAAAATCAAAAAGTCATTGGTGTTATCCTATAACCCAAATTCCTGCATAGCCATTATTACTGAGAGGTTGGTGGTAGCTGTTCCCTTTAGCTGGGCATTCCAGCTTTCACCTCTTAACCTGGCCCTGTGACCAGTGAGTTTGATACCCAGTAGTTAACATGCTTTCTGCCTCATCCCAAATGTGTCTTTGTACCTGAGTAACTCCGCCACCAAGTGTTTATGAACGTGTCCTTGTAGCCGTTTGCAGGAGGGGGTTACCGCCTTGGAGCAGCACCAGAGGAAGAGTCTGCCTATGTGGCAGGAGAAAGGAGGCGACATTCGGGCCAAGATGTAAGTGTCTGTCTTCCTTGGGGATTACTTGTGGGCTGTTTATTGTGCCCATTTTCAGAAGGGATTGGTCACGTGTGTATGAACAGGCAGCCTCTGAAAGAGGAGCTTGCAGAAACAGTGTCCTTGCTGTGGCCTGGACGGGGACTTACCATAAGAATGAGACAGTTTTCACTTGGTGGGCAGTGTGCCAGGGCAAAGGGTAGGGAAAAGGATGGACGTAGGAAGGTTTTTGAGCATTCTGTGGATCTCAGACAAAGGGGCAGTGTGTGGAGATTCCTCTGGTGAATTGGCATAGATTGAAGAAAATACCAAAGAAGGCCTGAAATATGGATGGGCTTTGTTTTGTTTCGTTTTGCTTGCATTTTCTTTATTTTCCACGTATGTGTACACACACACACACACACACACACACACACACACACACACACACACACACACAATGATACTATATAATTTTGAGGCTTTTTAAATTTTTTTAACAGTATGTTACAAAATACTTTGATGTTGCTTTGTGTCCATTCATTTCTATTAATTTAAATAATTTAAGTTTTATTCCAAATAAAGTCAAGCAGGTTTAAGAGAATAAAACTTTTATAGACTTGTAGCTGTGGTCACCAAGGCATTGGTTGTCAGCCTTCTAGACCCTTTTCTGTAAGTGTGATAGGAAGTTATTGGCAAATTATAGATTTCTTTTTTTCCTGAGATTTATTTTTATTTTTGAATTATGTAGAGGGGGTAGGGGATATGTCCATTGAGTACAGAGGCCAGAAGAGGTTGTTTGAGCTTCAGAGGCTGGAGTTACAAGCAGTTGTGAGCCATCTGACATGGGGCTGGGAACCAAACTTGGGCCTCTGCAAGAGCACTGCATGCTCTCGAACACTGAGCCATCTCCAGCCTTAGGTATCATTTTAATAACTGCAAAAGTAGGTCAGGACTAGACGCTGGAGTTGCATGTAGTGCAAGCTATACATGAAACACATCGGCAGCCCTACAGTTAAGGATCCCAGGTGTGATTTGCGTCATCTACTGTAGTCACCTTGCTAGCAAAGTCTCCTTAAAACAACGCCCATTCCTTCCAGCCTGTGTCATACCATGTTCCCAGTTAGGGTGGTGCTTACACACTTGGATACTCCTTTTTTTTTTTTTTTTGGTTTTTCGAGACAGGGTTTCTCTGTGTAGCTTTGCGCCTTTCCTGGAACTCACTTGGTAGCCCAGGCTGGCCTCAAACTCACAGAGATCCACCTGCCTCTGCCTCCCGAGTGCTGGGATTAAAGGCGTGCGCCACCACCGCCCGGCGGATACTCCTTTTTATTCGTGTGCACATCTGTCTGACTTGCTGGTTTATAGTACTGTGGTGAAATAGTGAAAACCCACTCATTTGCAGGTTCCTAGTGCATTCTCTAAGTTCCTGTCATTGTCACTGACTGCTTCCCTCCTGTTGTCACAGGTCCATGTAGTGCTAAAGCTCTGGAAAACTGGATTCAGCCTTGACAATGGTGAACTCAGAAGCTACCAAGACCCATCCAATGCCCAGTTTCTGGAGTCTATCCGTAGAGGGTAAGCGGAAAAGCCCATGTTAGTCTCCATTCAATGAATGAGATGTCAGGTGAGAGGAAGAAACAGTATTTATTTGAAAAAATAAAGTTATTGAAGCAGATTTAGCACAGTTGACATAAAGAGTCACAGGTCACTCTAAAAAACTTTGTCCATTTTTTGCCTTTTGCTCTGAGGCAAAGCTAAGTAGACCATGCTGTGATTGAGCAGGTGGGGAAGGTAGAGTCAGGCAGGTAGCCACTTACAAAGCCAGACCCTGGTGATTCCGCCATGACCAGTCTCCCTCTCCTCAGGCTGTTAGGTGTGAGATGTGCCAGCTGTGGAGGTAGGGTCCCCCCACCTTTTTCCCAGTTCTTCTCTTCCTCATGAAAGTCCTGAGGGAGACAGAGAGCTGGAGAGACAAAAAGGAGCGAGAAGGGCTTGAGACAGCAGAGGGACTGAGAGGTTGTGCTCACCTGTGCACTGTTCCCAGTTTGCGTTCTGTTGCTGTGGGTAAACACATAGCCAAAGGCAACATAAGGGAGAAGGGGATTGTTTCAGCTTACACCCTCAGGTAACAAGCTCCTCACTGACTCCTGCTCGACTGGCTTTCTTATATAGCCAGATTCTCCTGCTGAGAGATGGTGTGGTCCTCAGTGGGCTGGGCCCTCCCACATCACTTGTCTGAAGAAAATCTCTCAGAGACATGGCCACAGGCCCATCTGGGCAAAGCAGTTCTTCACTTAAGGTTCCCTCTTCCCAGATGACTCTAGGTGGTATCAAGTTGATAATAAAAACTTAACCAGGACACACCATGACTAGTGTGTCCATCCTGCTTACAATGAAACCCTACATTGCCTTTTCCCTCAGGGAGGTGCCTGCAGAGCTTCGGAGGTTAGCTCACGGTGGGCAGGTGAACTTGGATATGGAGGACCATCGGGATGAGGACTTCGTGAAGCCCAAGGGAGCTTTCAAAGCATTCACTGGCGAGGGCCAGAAACTGGGCAGGTGAGAAGCAGTTGGACTGTCAGTCGCACCAGCCAATCCCATGTGCTTACTGTGAAGAGCTCCTCATTGCGTACAGAGTAGTTGAGTTTATTTCAGGGGAGGAAGAGAAAGGAGAGTATGGGTTGTGGGGTCTACAGACCTGAGTTAAGTCTCTCTCTGTTTTCCTTTATAGTTGTGTGGCCCTTGGGTGGCCTCGGTTTCCTCAGCTGTAAATTGGGATTGATAAGAGTCCTTACCCCACAGAACTATTGTTGGGGGGAATAGAGGAGCCGATGTATGTAGAGTGCCTGGCATGAGCAGTAAGTGTAACATAACTGCTGCTTTGACTCAGAATGGGAGTGTTGGGGAAGCTGGGATCTCCTGGATGCTAAGCCTAGAATAAGCATACCGGGGTTAACTTCTCACTTCCTTACCCAACACTGCCTCCCAGGAGTATTGCTCAGGATGCACGCGAGCACAGGGACACTGTCGCCCTGGAAAGGCTGCTGCTCACTGTCCTGCAGCTCGGCGACTCTTAGGACTACTGTTTCCGGTGCTGCCTGACACTGACATCCAGGAATGTTCAGTTAGTGTCTGACAGTTCGCCTCTCTACTCTTACTTACTTGTAGAGTGTGTTTGCACACGCTCATGGGTGCTCCTTAGTTCATTGAGACGAGGATTCTAAGACCCTTCCCACTTCCTGTCTTTTACTTCCTGAGCATGAGGTGTACAGCAGTTTATTCTGCTGTCTAGGCTTTGCTCTTGCCATTTGGTATTCCTGCCTTCGGGAACAGATGCTCAGAACTGAGCGGACTGAAGTCTTTGTCAGTTCATTACCTCAGTACTTAGTCACAGTGACGAGAGGCTGACTGGTACGTGTGCTCTTTTATCCCTACTTTTTCTTCTCTCTCCTCTTCTCCTGACTCTCCTTGTACCCTTCCCACTCACTCACCCATAGCCACCTTTCCATTTTCCTGTCATTTGTGTCCTTCTCTTCCTCTACACCTTCACCCCCCTCTCATGTCCTCACCCCTGACAGAAAAACTGTGTTAGAAATAAAATACATCAATGCATCTCCTGATAGAGAATGACAGCTGTACTTCACTGGTCAGGCCAGAGTAGGGCTAGACATTAAACTAATGTCCATACATAATATTTTCTCCTACTTCTGGTCTAATCAGTGGAGTGTGGTTGTATTTTTACTCCTTCATTTCTACTGCTTGCATAGTTTGCTCTCCTGTACTGTAACAGTGCTTGCTGGAACATTTAGGAAATTTGCTAACACTAAGAACAACATTGCAATGCAAGTCTCTGTAAGTAAATCTTCACTTTTAGCTTGCATATGAAGACTGAGCGTAAAAAGTTCTATGTAGCCAAGTGACATGGGAGTTCATCCTCCGAGATTGAGTCAGGTACAGGTGGATATTCTAGATGACTTCCTGAAGAAGGTAGCACAGCCAGTCACTTGTTAGGCTGTGCCAAGGCTGCCTTGGTCACAGATGTGGACTGTGTCCTCTAAGCACCACTTCACTGAGGTTGAGACATCCTGATCTGTGGGTTCGTTAGCCTCTCGACAATCTCATCTCTGCTACCACAGGCTGTCCTCTTTCTAGCCTTTGTCGTGTAGGACACCCAGGGTGAGCACATGACCTGAGTGGTTGTTGCTTGGATTCTGAGGTAAATATATTAGGTGACAGGATTCTACCTTTCTCAGTCACTGACAATAGCATCAGAAGCAAGTTCGGGTGCGTAACCGTTGCTCAGTGAGAACCCAGAGATTTCTGTCTGGGAGGGCCTTGTTTCTGCACTGCCTGATGTGCTCCGTTCTCCTCAGCACGGCCCCCCAGGTATTGAACACCAGTTCTCCAGCCCAGCAAGCAGAAAATGAAGCCAAAGCCAGCTCCTCCATCTTAATCAATGAGGCAGAACCTACTACAAACATCCAAATCCGCCTTGCAGATGGTGGGAGGCTGGTGCAGAAATTCAACCACAGCCACAGGTATTTTGCACTGTCTGGACTACCTTTTGTCAGCATGTCCTAGAGTCCGGCATAGACCTGTGGGAAGCAGGCAGCAGCGGGATCTGTCCGTTCACATCTCATCTGTAGGTCTCATTCCTCATCAGGATTAAGCCACCAGGCTCTTTATTCAAAGGAAGTAACTCTGGTTTTAAAGATAGTGAAACAGGCACCATGGAATGAAGAGACTAGCAGGAGAGGTGCCAGTGAGCTGTTACCAGTGAAAGCACTTTGTGGCTCCTTTCTCTAAAACAGGGCCTCTAAGTTTCATCCATGGTGGGTCAGCTAAGCCAGGTGTGGATCAGTGAGTAGTCTGGCAATTCTTGAGTGCTGACCAGATGTGCTTGTGGGATAAAGGTGTAAAGCAAGTCCAAAGATCTTCCTAGATTCTTCCAAAATGTCCTTAATATTGGTGCTTCCCTCTGAGAGAGTTGGGATCCATCTTAACCAGTTACTGCTTTAGTTTTACCTCACTGGTTAACCCCACCCAGGTGACAGCCTGTGCAGAGTGTGGGTGAGAGGTCTAGGCTACATCTTGTATGGTGTACTCTCATGGGTCACCATTACATAGTGGCAGAAAGAAGCTTCTGTTGATAGTATCTAGAGAAAAATGCTGTTTGCACTGACTCCATCCTTGTGACTCCCAGGTGCAGGACAGTGCCTGGAGAAGGGATTCCTAGGACTAAGGAGTTGCTGGCATACAGTGGAGAAATGCCTCTTCAAGGTCCTTTCAAGGACTCTTGCAAAGATCCTCAAGTGGAAGAGGATAATGAAAGAAGGCGGACTGTAGGAGGGAGGAAGGGAGGAGAGCAGAGTAGGGCAGGTCACGACCAGTAAGCCGGAGGACTTTGGGAAGAGAGCTTAGGCAGGGGAAGGAACGAGCTGGTGTGCTTCTGGGTGACAGCTGTGTCTGCTCTGTAGAGAAGGGAAGCAGGCCTGCATGGTGAGAGGGGCTTCCAGATGTGTTTCTCTTCCCAAGGGCTAGGGTTAGGGGCAGCAGCAGAGAACCCTGCTCATCACCTCACTCTTACCCTACTCCTCCAGGATCAGCGACATACGGCTCTTCATCGTGGATGCCCGGCCAGCCATGGCTGCCACCAGCTTTGTCCTTATGACTACCTTTCCTAACAAAGAGCTGGCTGATGAGAACCAGACCCTGAAGGAAGCCAACCTTCTCAACGCTGTCATCGTGCAGCGGTTAACATAACCGCCCAGCTGCTGCCTCACCTTCCTATGTGTCTCCCATGACTGCAGCCATGCCCATGGGGATCACCTTCCTGCCCCTGTATACACCCAGCCCTTCCAGTGCCACGTCTCATGTGTAGCTCTGGGCTCTTAGACTTCAGTTGGACATATGTTTTCTCTTTAGTTGTATTTCCTGGGTTTTTGTGGTGATCAATGGACTTTAAAGAAAAAAAAATAAAAACAACCAAAAAAGTTGAAGGAATACCACCAATCCTGTTGTACAGAAACTCTCCCACTGGAACTATATTTGATTGTTAGAAAATCTTATCTTGAAGCATGGTAAGGGGACTGTGCATTTATCCTCTGCATAAAGTCACTGTGGCATACATACTCATCTCCTGGTGTGTTCCTCCTGCCACAGATGGTTGTGTGGAGGACTCCCGCTTCACAGAGAAGGAAGGAGGGGGACATGCAGGAAGAGACTGCAGCCACTCCCTTCCGTAAGAACATCTCACTTGCCCCAGTCAAACTAAGTAGGAGTCAACATCTGAGGCCAGAGCTGGATGCACAAAACTGAGTTTAGTTAGGATGTCTTTGTCTAAAAGGAAAAGTGTCACTAATGTTAATGGCAGGTCCAGGTATGGCGATAAGTGTCTCGTGTCTGGGAGCGCCTTTAACTGTGGTGGTAATTGCAAGAGTCTTATGAGAAGCTAGTTTTCTTTGGGCATATGTAATTAATGCCAGCATGTGGCTTGGGTCACAAGTTCTGTTTCACACTTGTTCCCTGCCCTGCTGACCTCTGACTTAACAGCCTCTTGAGCCATATCCCAGCCTGGCAAAGACCTCCCCACCCTTGAAGGTGTAAGGAGGATAGTAGGGACCTTGGCTAGAACTCTTCTGCCTCCCTGACTCTACTACACTGTTTCCTGCCCTGCCCTATCCTGCCCTGAGCCAGGAGCCAACTTGACACTGGGAGCTACTAAGAAACATCCTGAGAGAGGGCCATGGCAAGCAATTCCCTGCTGTGGCTGCAGCATCTACCATGGTATGGTCTCCAGCATGTGAAGGTAACCAGAAACAAAGGTCTGGAAAACAAAACTGGCCATTTAAAACCAGAATGAGTACAATAGAGTTTGTCCTTTTATATTGAGTTTCTTGGAAGGATGATAGCACCTCTGTTCAGTGCTTCATGGGGCCCAGGTCTTAGTGGAATGCCATGGGC